ATTCTCTCATTTTCCGTGTTAGTTTTCGCTCGTGTGTTAATGGCATGCTAACGTTTATTTTTTGCAGCTATCAGCGTTTTTGGACGACTGATGTCCTTTTCACCGATGGATTCAAGAATAAAAGGTAGATTGTTATATTTTGACAATGCTTTTTCGTTTTCTAGAATGACCCTTTCAGAATCCATGATGATCGATCACGGGAATGGCGACGACGACAACGATGGCGAAATGGAAAGAAGGCTGGTGATTCTTTTTTTCTTGTTTTGTTGTTTATTTTTAATTTATTGTTTGTTATTGTATTGTTGTCATCGTTTGTTACTGTTTTTTATTTATTTTGTTTATTGTTATTGTTTGTTGTTGTAATATATTGTTTGTCTTGTTTCCATTTCTCAGCGGCATGGTAACCCGGGACCATGCCGTTGAATTGTAATAAACTTGCTTTAATATGTTTTGTAAAATTGTGGGATCCCTTGTGTAATTGAGAAAATGCTGTCGACAGTTTAAAAATTTTATTATGTACAATATCTAAACAACTTTATCAAAAATGAAATGGGACATGGTTTGGAAATATCTAACTAAAACGCGCGTAGATTGACATGGTTGAAAGAGTTCTGCGCGATGAAAATCCATATATTTTTTGATGCGCTGGCGACGTTTCAGATCCTTCTTTCGCAAGCGGCGTATATCCTCTAAATAAATTTGTGAATTGTTGATGTTCAAGAAGTAAAAATGAGAGATAAGATGAACAAACCCTTTCCATGCTCCTCAATTTGTCAAGCTTTTGTTCCTCACTTTCTCAAGCCTTTGAGGAGCTGGGGATTGCATCAAAAGAGGATTTGTTGGCATTATTTTTTGCACATAAAGAGGTGCGTGGGCTTGAACCACAATGGGTAGGAGCTGGACGCGGAAGGAGAGGGCGCAAGGTAGGTTGCGGGGTAGAAGCATTTTGAACATGACTTTCATTGCGTGAGTTGACAGGAACAATGTAAAACTTGTGAGAAAGCATGATGACTCGAAAGCAAACAAAGATTATGCTAATCATACTGTTTAAGTACCCTTTTTATATGCTTCTGCTTGGCACGGTGAGACTTTCGCACGTCATAAACCTCCCAAAGGCATTGAGAAATGTACACCTCTGACCTAGATGCAGATTACAGTAGAAGTGCGAAATGCCAAAGTATGGTAGAAGAAGATAATTCATGCATAGCTTGATTGTTCTAGCTCTTCACGCAAGGTTCATGCCTTACAAGGGAATGGTCAGAAGTCGAAGTGGCCAAACCAAACAAGCTGTATACCATTCGATGCAGTATAAAACGCTGACTTCGAATCTGTCTTTCTTATCTGCTTCCAGCTTCTGTGGACGAAGCTACAAGCCATTAAAGACCATTATTTTGTTAAGAAATTACACTTGAAATTGAAAATTTAGCCGTGCAGAGCCACGTTCGCCTTAATGCTGAGCCAAAACATGCAGCTATCCCACTTCAAATTTTTAAAGAAAGAAGCTGAGCTAAAAATGCAACAATGTGCTCGATTTCGCTGTTTTTATGTGTGATTTTTTCACAATAAAACGGCTTGTAGCTTCGTCCACAGAAGCGGGAAGCAGATAAGAAAGACAGATTCGAAGTCAGCGTTTTATACTGCATCGAATGGTATACAGCTTGTTTGGTTTGGCCACTTCGACTTCTGACCATTCCCTTGTTAGTATACATGACAACGTGCGCGGAGTTATGGAACAATCTTGCATGGAACATGATGTAAGAATCAACAATGAAGAAACAAACTAAACTTAACATATGACACAAAACCTTTCAAGTACTTACCGACGCATTCCAATCCGAAAAGTCTAGCGGTAGCATAGAATAGTGAATAGGAATACAGCAGAATAGTAGTACAATAGTTTTTGAAGTTCTAGATCGCTAAGCAAGGCTCATGTCACATAAACCATGAGAACAAGCTTAAAGAACAGGAACTTTCCAAGTAATATACAATAGAATTGATTAGCAGAATATCAGCAGTCAGAATATGTTGATATCAGATCAATCACGTAAATTGGACGAATAAAAGCAAGAATAACTTTCGAAAAGATAGTGGAAAATGTTGGGCAGACAGCTCGTCCATACTGGGCGGTGCCAAGCACGCACCGCATGCGCGCGCCTCAGTCGCCGTGGAGCAGGCCTATTGTCGCTGGGTCAGAGCGGTTCTAAAGGGCACACACCCACTAATGAGAAAATCCTGGGTAGAAACGAATCTGACCATTACGCTAGGTTCTTAGAAATCACAAACTTTCAATACAAAAGAAGAAACAAAACAACAAGTTATATCATTGACAGTTCCAAATTGCACTGTTCTAGGTGAAGGAAATAAATCGAGATGTCAGAAGCGTAATTGATTTGCGTCTTCCAATTTGTCTTGGAAAATCTGTTTTCAGTAAGAAGCCGTAAGAGCAAAAATCACAGAGCATGATTTTTTCTTTCAAAGTCAATAATAAACAAACTGGTTGACAAAAAGAGAAGAAATGGTAAAAAAATCCACTTATAAGAAAGAATGAAATATATTCCCAAATAGACTTAGGAAAGTGTTTTGAAAACTATATTCGGACGTTTAAGCTTCGATAACTTCAAGAATGAAAACCTTTTGCGCTCTTTCAAACATCATATTGCAGAGCTGGCTTCAGCCTAAATTTACAGTATGAAGAAAATCACTGATGGCTCTCACCGTGGAGCTATAGTAAGGAACAGCATACAGCGCTGGTCCTGCTACAGTTTATTTACTCTACAATAGGACAGCAGCAGTATTTTCTGAGAACGCGTATCGAGTATCTGAGCGCTTAAGACCTGTCAATGAGCACTCATTGTTTAGTAAGAGACAGATCAACTTTTACTTGTGAGATCTGTAAAAGCTACCTTTTCTGCGCACAGCTCATAATGATATCCGGACGTGAATGATTATGTGTAAGTGCCGCATTTTTATCTTCATCTCAAAGAAAATTTCGGCCGAGCGGTTTCTGCCGGACCCCTCAATTTTTGCAGTGCCATTGCTATGCGCTCATTCTGTCGCACGGAAGCCGAGCGATCCGCTGAACAATACCGACTGCGAGAAATCAACTCTTCTTTGACCATTTCCATTCAAGACGATGCTGTTACATGTGTGAGTAAGTTAGTAAGCCGACCGAGGTTAAAGATGTTTATTGTTAGTGGCGGCCTGACGTTTCGACGTGTCCGTCTTCTTCAGAGGCCAACCTCCTCCGCCGCTGCCGCCCAGATGTTAGATGCGGCCGTCCTTCGTGCCACTAGTAGTAATTACTAATAGCGGCACGAAGGACGGCCGCATCTAACATCAAGGCGGCAGCGGCGGAGGAGGTTGGCCTCTGAAGAAGACGGACACGTCGAAACGTCAGGCCGCCACTAACAATAAAAATCTACTAACCTCAGTCGGCATACTAATTTACTCACACATATACTAACAATGCCGAGGTTTACGAAAGAGGAAACCTGAAAGATGCTGTTACAATTTTGCATTTATTCTGTATGCGTGCGCAGAAACCGAAAAAAACTATATTATTCCAATTCCAGAGACAAATACAATTTTTTAGAGATGCGAAGGGGGTAGATAAATGATCTATTGCTTGCTATGAACACTCCGAGTTCTTCAAAATCTTGCGGTAAAAGAAATCGGAAATGAATGTGAACACATGTTGATTAACTATGCGGATCAGGGGAACATTGAGCCTAAAAGGTAGGATAAGAATAAAGGAGAACAGAAAATGATCAACATATCTTCAGGAGAAAAGGTGGAGGAAATGAGAATGAATATATACAAAAGTTACAAATTTTTATTTCAAATGTTAGGAGAAGCGTGACAAATGGAAATAATGATAGCATAGCACTTTTTTGAGAATCATTGTTGCTACTAGATGGCTCAGCATCAGTAAAGTTAGTCAAACAATCATCCGATATACCCACGCGATTTCAATCTCCCCATGTAAAAAAGTATAGTAGGCTTTATCACATGGACTCTACAAAACACTCTAGGATATGAGCATGTTTCTCGCGAGGCATGCCTCTTGCCTCTCTTGCCTTCGTCACTATGCAATCTGGCAATTTTCTCATGTCCTCATTTCCAAAACTCGCTGAAAAACTTATGCGCATGAAATTTGTTATAGAATTCTCTCTATTTCGTGCACTGAGCAGGGAAGGATACTTGGTGGCCCTGCCTTTTATAATGGTTTGTATATCAAAAAAGTCGCCTTTTGATGCTGGTCTTTTTACTGTTTTCAACATCTGCGAAACGAAAACGTGGATGGAGTTACAATTATTTTTTTCAAAAATGGATTGCGCTACTGCGGAGGGTGAAAATCATCAATAAAAATTTTTCTTTCCTCTTCAAATGCTGAATATGATTTAGATAGATACACAACGTTACATCTTTCAAGTTTCTCCTTAATAGCTTCAAATGGTAAAATGGATCAAATTGGGTGTTTTTAACTACCTAAAAGTACGCAAATTTTCTACGAAAAAAAGTTCATAACCAGGGTAAAGCGGGGGGTGCGGCACACGACCGTCGGATACGACCCCCCCCCCCCCCCCCCTTGAACCGGACCTCGGTACGACCCCCCCCCCCATTCCTACCCCCCCCCCCCCTCTCGCTCTTGAAGGCACCGTCCACCCAGAATTTCGACCCCCACCTTTTTGCCGTTCCAGGGCCTTCTCATACCCATCAGCGCGAGTTGGGCAGTCATATAGTTGGGGCCCCGCATGTGCTAGGTATCATAATCTCACCAACCCCAATTTGGGTGGACGATGCCTTTAAGCCACGTCGCGCCGAGCCCTGTTCGTCATACGCAATTCCGGTCTGTTCTCGACCGTCACTGCTCCAAAACGGTACTTCATTTTCATTGAATTTTCTAAGCTATTTTTGAGCAAGCAAGACTTTATTTTAACAGAAAACATTCCAACAAAACAAGAGATCTTGAACGAGATCTTATGACGAGATCTTCTGCTCTAAACGTTCTCGACGCGAGGGCGTGTGTTGGTGGTCGTCCACGGAGTTCCGCAGAGAATTAGTTTTTTGTTGAGCAGTATGTAAATGAAAACCAACTGAAAAAAGATAGTTTTTAGGCTGTTTTAATGGCGAATGAGGACTTACCAAAACTATCAGAATGATGAGCGCAAAAATTGCGTTCTTGTCGGCAGGGAGCCAGAGTTCATTACTTTGATGGATATTAGTGTACTTGTTAGTATCGATAACCATGTTTCTGCAATAAAATTTATTGTATAGATACATAATTCAACACAGAGATATAGAACGCTGAACGTCAAAATCATCACACGATTTGTCTATAAACCTTTATTATAAAAGCTGGGAAAAAGTGTTAGACTCGGAATCGTAACGCCTAAACGCCTATGTAAAATCGCATTCACATGAATTCTATAACGACAATAGACAATAAAAACCAAGATTCTCTTTGGTGGTGAGCCTAGAGGATTCACTATTCTTGTTGGGTTACCCCATGCTTATCACATGTTGGTACGCTGTCAGGTTTTCGACTTAACGCCGTCCACAAAGCGCTATCTTTGGTCCAAGCCAATTCTTCAAGCACTCTCTCTTCGACCTAAATGACGAGTTGAGATGGACAACTCAGATCAACGCACAACTTACATGGTTCAAATGTCGAACTATTTCTCTCGTAAGGCGTGACTCGTTACGTATGACGACCTCGATAATCTTTTGAAAACTGACAGCAGGCAGCCCGCACACCTGGATTTGCTGTCTTATGCAAACTGAAGATGCGTACAAGTAACAGCACGTAGTGCAAGAAGTCAAGAAAAGAGAAGAAAATGTGAGAGTACTCGTACACAGAACAAGGGTAAGGGAAAAAAGCGAAAGAACATGGTTCAAGCTGATATAGAGTAGACTTTGCATACCTCCAAACACCATGGAAATACTCTCTCTCTATCTGAATCTAGCATTTCGACAGCTTTTTGGTTGTACTAAATCAAACTGAAGAAACACAGATCACTTGTTCATGTTTTGGTTCAGATTCTCCCTCCATCAAGGCCATGTTATAATGTTGAATTATTTACAAATCTCCGAAAAGATTCAACTGTTTTGTGAGAAGAGAGATACATGATGATATGCGTGTTGTTGGCAGTGTCTCTAGTCAAGTTGGTAATGCCCTAGAAGGTGAAGCTTACTAACAGCAGATACTCCTAGTGTTAAGTCGATTTTGAGAAAGCAGTGAGACAAAAGAAAAGAAAACATCAAAAAATCAAAAAAGAAAAACTGACCTGCATGACAAACTCTATCATTGCCGTGAGACCAAGAAAATTGCATCGATAGTCCATTTTATATCTACGTAAGACATCTCCAATAATCTGCATACGTTTCCAAACCTAAAAAGAGTAAGAAGTGACAAAGAATTGCAAAGTGCATTTTCAAAGACACGGATTGTAGCATACACACGAACATACCGTATATCTTCAACAGCGTCTGCAATGGACTGTCGAGCTGGATCATACGTGCCAACCAACGACTCAATTCGGCGAATGCGCTGTTCCAAGGAGAGAAGCTAGAAAATTTGTGAAACTGATGCTGATAATCTTGTATTTAACATTAATAGTACTTTCGCATTCGAAGACTTGTCTACGTTTGGTGCGGCTCCTTCTTTGTCAGTCGGTGGCAGCTCCCGATGATTTGGAAACTCTCACAGACTAGAAAATACCTTCACTGAAGAGAAAAAAGGATAGACACGATTCAGTTGGTACCTTCAACTCATCCGTAAGATCAGCAAGAGAAGTCTCGTTCACAATGAGGGTAGGCTTTACCGTTTCATCCTAGATAAATACTAAAAGCAGTGAAACTCATGATCAAGTGTGCAAAACGTTGACAATTTCATCGCATTCCGCAGCCTAGAGAAATAGTATTATTTGCGGTTGAATATGGCCAAGAAACTAAATGCAATAAAATCTCGGTTTTAAGCGCGGCTATTTAAAATCCATTTCTAATAGATCAAGTTAGAAACTTGTTTCAACCACTGTTGAAAGGGCATGAGAGATTCTGAGCGGTGGGCATGAGAGATTCTGAGCGGTATGCAAAACTAGTTCCAAAAAAAACTAAGCTTGATGGAAGAAAGTTGCATAGAAAAAGGACAAGAGACATTGATTTTGTCCAGCTCGATGATCAATCGGATGAACCCTTTTCGAATGGCAAAGTGAAAAAGAAATTCACTTTCGTGAACAAGTGCAATTCAGCGAACAAAGAAGCAGAAAGGTAACGATAGAACATCTCTTCAAAAAGAATGTAAGCAGGCACAAAGAGAATCGATATTAAGAGAGTATAACGAGCATATGGACGTACCTTTGCTTGCGGTACTTCTTGTGATGGTAGTTGCTTGCCTGATATACTCAGCTCTTGTTCAAAAACAAGAGGAGTGGTGGCGGCATGTTTTCCGTGAATTACTGCAGACTCTAAATAGAATTTATTTCTGTGTACCTGAAAATAAAGTGCAATGGTAGTGAAATGGCAAACCTGATATTGTTCTATTTCGACCCAGTCTTGTGTTAAGAGCACGACTTGTGGACGATGGAAACTGCATCTGGAATAGATTTTGATTTCAGCATGCAATATCAAATTTTTCGAACTGAAGAAGCTGTACCAAGTAGCAAAAGACGTGATTACAAAAGGACAAAAACATCACATGTCTCAGATTTTTTGCATTATATCAACTAGTTTAGGTGATAATTATGCCAATTCCGTGAAAAAAGAAAAGCAAAAACGATTGAAGGAAGAAAATCATGACTAAACATACCCGTAATGTACCGGGCCAAGCTTCATGGCTTCTTCTTCTTCTTCCATGGCTTGCTCTCTGCAAACTGCGAAGACTGATACATATCTCTACGAGTAGAGAGCGCCAGTTTGCGCACACTGGAGTAGCCGGAATTTCAGAAAAACAACATCAACGAGACGAGAACGAGAGACGAGGCGAGACGAGACGAGAGTGATTTTGAAATGCACAGTTTGAAATGTCCTGCCTCCCGCCCTTGGTGTGCCGGCAATTTTTGGAATCCTACCGTACACCAATATTTTCGGCGGTTGTCGGACTGGGTGTTTCGGTGAGTAGGGTTCGGAAAACCCACCGTATCTCTACTAAGAGGGCGCGCTTGGGGGGGGCAAAGGCTACTACGAAGAGGAGAAGGATGGATCTACAGAATAGTGTAAAAAAGGGATTTGTTTGAGCGTTTTGAAGGTAAGTTAATGGCCTGCGGCACCCCCCCTCAAAACCTGCGGCAGCCGCAGGTTTTCAGGGGGGGGGGGGGTGCCGCAGGCCATTAACTATATCAAAAAAACATTTTTAGCGGACAATATTTATATGAATCAATAGCCTAAACCTCGTAGATTCCATAGGGATGTTTTGAGCCTGATTCATCTTCTTAGCTCTGAGTAATATCCGGTGAAAGCACAGCGATCAAAAACTGAAAGCGATTTTGGTTGGCTTCTAATTCAATAGTTTGGAGGTCTTCTGAAGCGGGATTCCTGAGGTGGACAAAGAAGGAGTAGTGCTTTGTATTGAGTGCAAGAAGAGGTAGCTTACTCACCGTTAAGATAAAGTTAATCATGTTTTAAATTACTGCTTCATACAAGGTTGTTTACTGCTCGGAGACCTCAGAGTTCGCTGAAACTTGGCGCATAGGGGTTATTCGACACGCGGATTACAATAATTATACTTGATTAGCGGTACGGTAGGTTACGGTAGGCATACGGTATCTGCAAGTTTGTGTCATTGGACTTGAATTTTGCAGGACTTCAATAGCGTCGTCAAGTCAATTTAGTCACACAGCTTGTACAAGTGCGCAAGTCAATGTAATAAGCTTGCACACATACAGTAGACTCTTCGACTTAGACTTACAATCGGTTTATGGTTTCACACACAAGCAGCTGTGTGAGCAGCAGCACAGGACAGTACACGCAAGCAAATGCATTGTACTAACACGATCACTGTAATGATTCATCATCTTTGAAATGTAAATCTTCTTGGTGCACCATCCATATTTCTTTGCTTTCAAGTCAGTTCTTTTACTCACTTTCGGACCTCTTCGACCTTCCGCCATTTTCTCGCACCGAAAAGCGTTATCTTTATCCTACACGAACAAATGGAGCGAGAAAGGCTTTCAGGTTTGACGCTATGACGCCAGCACAAGCTAATAAGGACGAGGACAGCGATTTTGATCTGCCTCCACTCTGGATTGATTTGGAAGCTCCGGAATCGGATATCGATTCTTCAGATTCTGATTATGAATTGGACGATGGGCGATATTCGGATCATGAAAGTAGCTCATTTGAAGTACGCTCACAATCACGACTGCCCAATTTTTTGCACAGTGACAACCTACCAGTTTCAGGAACCTCTCGTTTGTGAACCGGTGGCGGAAGGAGGATCGGACAGTCCTACTCCCAACGAGGTCGCGTATGCCATACGGCAGCGAAGACGGCCGTCTCCACCGTGGCCGGAAGTGACTCCGTTCGATTTCAGCGTCGATGGCTTTAGCGAATGGGAGCGTGAAGAGGCTTCACGTTACACATTAATTGATGTTTTTGGAGTTTTTGAGCAATAAAATTGTGACCATTTCCAGGGTACCATCTAGTCATTCATCAGTCTCATCTGGTGTACCATCTATATCTCGTAACCTTTGCTTTCAAATCAATGCCATAAATTGGTGAATGGTCTGTTTGACTCATTCCACCGTAATAAGATGAGTCTAGTCTAGCATTGAGAAGCTTCAACTTCTGCTGTTTATCCTCAGAACGCTCGGTGAAGAAGCTCCTCCGCCACCGCGGAGGCAATCCGAACAGTGGTTGGAAGAGCACAGAAGAAGGTTAGAAGTTTTGCCGCCTGACTTGAGGGCCATGCGTCAATTCGTTGTCGTTCACAAACTAACGGCATTGTTGGAGGCGTTATCGGAAATGCCCATAGAGCATAGGGGAATCCGGTCCCTTTTTCAATTGTGTGGACGACTTTTTGAAGTAGCCACAGGTGCGTTTAATGGAGCATCTGGAACGTACATCGTGAACTACAGGGACTTCCGCATCATTCGGCATACAAGCAACTCTTTCCGATTCACATGCTCCAATGAAGTATGTCGTCCCCACCATACTTTGTATGAGCACCACCTCAACAGGAGGGTGGCGCTCAGATACCCGAGGGCGTTCTTGCTAGACTTTTCCCCGGAAGGGACAACCTCGGCAGTTATGGCCATTGAACAAGTATGGCTAATGTTCCCGCGTCTGCCGCAAGCCATTCTACAGGTGCACCTTGAAATGAGGGTAGAGAATAACAACGAGCAGGTTAGTTTTGCCAAAAATCACATTTATTCTTTGTTCATTTGCATCACTAACATTTATCAGATAATCCTATTTTTATATATTATTTTTATTTATTTATTTATTTTTATTTTTTATTTTTATTTTTTTATTATTTTTATATGTTTTTTTAATATTTTACAATATATTCATCTCAGGAACGAGATCGTCGCCACCACTCGCCCTCCCCCCAAGACCACAACGTACCTGGACGCCCAAGACTTCAATGGAGACACTGAAATAATTTTGAGGATAGATCGGAAAAACTTTATATTAGATTTTTAATGATTTTGATTCCGATTTTGATTACTTGTGACTTTTTCTTCTGGTCTGGGCTGTGTTTTTTCGCATAAAGAATGTTGATACCGTAGTGCGGAGATATTGAAACATCGTTAGTTCTCCAATGTACTTATCAAAATGGATTTTGAATTTTCCGAATTGGGAATTGTTTAGAATCGACCAGCCCAAACACGCCTAAGGACTGCGCAACCAAAAGACCGTATATAGTGCTGTGCATTGCCTGAGAGGAGTTCGACATAAGTATTGTTTTCTGAATTGGTTGAGTAGCTGTAGCAGTATTTCAAAAGGTGGGCTCATACACCTAAAAAAGCATACATTATATGTGCTATTTGCAGTGTGCTGGAATGTGGAGGTTGCTCTTTATCCCTTGGGTTGTCGCCACTCCATCTGGAAATCCATGTCATCCACATTTCAACGAGATGTCGGTTCTACATTTTACTACAACCCATGAGGAACAGTTCATCGAATTGAGTGTTAGAGAAGAATGCTATAACGCTGAGGAGATGAAGAATTTGAAACTAAATAGCTATGGAATCTTGGTGCTTAACACAAAACCATCCTTGGTGAGTTTACAGAATTTCGTTGCCAGTATCTTTATTATTGAATGCAGATGGGAGACGAGCGTAACTTTCAATCCACGACATTCGTGGACTTCAACAACGAAAAGTGGCCCAAATCAAACAGGGTATATCAAGCATTTTTTACGGTTGGGAGTGCAGAAGGAGATAACGACGTCCCTTCCGGCCACTTCCCCCGAGGAGTAAAAAAAATCAACTTCAATTTCTTCACTGGTAGGAGAAAAATGGCAACGTGCAGTAGATTCGTCAATTGGCCGTATTGCAATCAAGTGGCCGATGCTAGCCAGAATCAAGATCTTTTGAAATTCTACGGTCGCAGCAGATCGACGCCAGCTCCACGTATACACAGCGAGCATCACTATCTCGAAGGACAAACAGTTTTTGTGCTTTTGAATTTCAAAAAGAAGGATCCAGCCGAATTTGCTTCGATGTTCAGTTACGTACTAACCACGCAATCAGGCAACTTGTACTACAATCCAGATAACTTGATCATCACAGGAGACAAACAGAAATGGATATCATCCAGAGCGGTAGATATAGTTGTGCTTAGTCCATCGGATGATGTCAGCAAAGTGACACCGATGAACTACCTTGACAACATGTGGCCACAACATTCTAAGGACATGGTCTTTCATATTCTCGATACCGAGCAGTTTAGTGCACAAAGGTCCCTTTCTATGTGTGGCAACCGGTGGGCCCTCACCAGTAAAACTCCAGGTTATACAAACAATTGCGATGACGAGGATACTATTTTCTTGGATCAATGGATTCGCCGTGAAGATGACCCGATCAGACCAGATCCTCAAGGACGTTTGCAAGAAAGGCAGCACGAAGATGCCGCGGGAGTAGCATCCACCACAATTTCGTCGCAACTCAGCCCATCATCTTACCTTTCCCCGCGAGCCCAATCACCAGTTAACGACGATTTGGAGATTTTTTTTGACATGCCTGGAACCAGTGACATAGAAGTGATCCCTAACCCGTCTGCTGCTGCAAGCGACGTACGCTCCGAGAAGCTTGAAAGCAAAGTTGCTAAGCTTTTGGAAATTGTGCAAAGTATTGCACTTCGTCAAAAGGCATTCGGAGAGCAGCAAAAAATTCTGACGATAGAATCTCAACAAGCGACTAGCATGCTATCTAGTATAAGGGAGGAAATGAAGGAGAAAAGTGAGTTACAGACTCTTGAACTGCAGCTTCAAGACGAGAACTTGCGGCGCAAATTCGGGCTGTATAGAGATCCAATGGAAACGCAAAAGTTCGAGGATGACTTGAAGCAGCTAACGATCAATGAAGAGAAACTGAACCCAGACCAGATCAAATGGTTAAAAGGGAAACATTATTTGCGATATTACCGAGATGAAGAATACCCCGGCGCTGACTTTTTCAGATGTGCTCTCTGCAATAGAAAAGCGACGGCGCCTTTTGACGCGAAAGAGGGCTTCCGCAAGTGCCAAACCGATAGCGATCTGTCGACTACTTCAAATCTGCTTGGGGAAAACAGCGTGCTTTGTGTGAAAAGAATGGCCCAACAGGCCCAAGACGAAGAAAGACCTCGCAGGCTGATCAGTCGTCTTATAGAGAGAATATCTAAACACGAGAAATCGACGCAACATAGCCAATGCTTGGAAGAGTTCAAAAAAGAAGCCGATGATATTTCTGGAAGAATAACTCCAGATGACATCTCAGCTACAGTAACTTCCACATTCGCTGCATATGTGATAGCAAAAGAGGGCCTTCCCTTTTCGAAACAGTTCCCACTTTTAATCATGTCGATGAGATCTGGATCTGTAGGCGTCACTGTTCATCACGATTCTACTACTGCACGTAGAATGATATCTGCATTCGCTGTACACATGAAGTACGATCTTGTAAAATACGTCATCAAGAACAACCTACCCTTCTCTTTGCTTCTAGACGGTTCTTCGTCAAGCAGAGGAGTGAAGTGGATAGTGTTTCTTCTGAGAACACTTTCAACAGACTACCGTCCAATGACCTTTCATTTCTCTCTTACTGAAGTGGAAAGTGAGTCTGCAACTCACATTGTGGAAGCACTACTACGAGTTTTTGCGAGTATGGAAGGCTGGGTCAATGAGCCAGGTCTCAGCAAGTCCTTCAAACAGCATGCTATGCAAAAAATGTTAGCACTATCTTCCGACGGTGCAGCTGTCATGAGCGGTCATGTTCAGGGAGTGTTTGCCAAACTAAAAGACATAATTGCTGAGGAGACCAAAGATGATCTTTATCCTAGAAACAATCTCATAATCTCAGTTTGTATGGCCCACAAATTGAATCTGGCTGTGAAAGCCCAGAAAAGTCCACTATTCAAACTTGCACAAGCCATTGTCATGGACTTGTACCATCTCTTTGGATCTACTGTGAGAACAACCGGCAGGAGCGTGTACAAGAAAGCTGCGCAAAAAATGTGCTTCCCAGATTTGCAGATGAGCGCTCTTTTCACAGTGAGATGGTCGGCTAGTTTTGCCAATTCACTCTCCAATATACTTCGCGTTTACCCTGTGATCCTACAGGCACTGGCGGATATACGAGATAACAGACGTTTTAGCAGCAGCCTCATAAAAAGAGCTACTTCGACATTCCATGTGCTTTCGGATGCGAGGACGTACATAGCTCTACATCACGCCAACACTACCATGCATGAGCTTTCTGTATTGTCGCAGTATATGCAGCGCGAGGAAGGGCTACTTGTTGACAACCTACAAAAGTGGAGAGCCCTTGTCTACAGCATAGCAGCACGAGGTCTATTAGAAAAAACGACAAAAAACTTACTTGAGCGAGGAACCATCAAGGCCTACGTAAATGACGAAATAGAACGTATCGATGCGGACTTCCTCAACAACTACCCTAACAAAGATGACAGACGCCTTTTAGCATACAATCCTCGAGCGTTCGCAGATTTTTCGCTCGACCGCTGCTCAGAAGGCGATGATGAAGAGCGGCAACAATTTCTGGACTGGCATTTATTCAGAGACTTGGCTCGCCTCACATCCTACGAAGAAAGCCCTCCGGACCTAGACGATCCCGAACTCACCTTTAGCCTTGAAGATGCTCCAGAAAGTAGTGAAGGTGACTTAAGGCACTATAGTTTAGCAAAACGATATGAAGATTTCGACTGGAACAATGCTGTATATTCTTCCATTAAACGTTTCTACGACGAAATGAAGCAAGCATTAGATGCCCAGCTCGTGAATAAGCCTCATGAATTCAATAGTATTGATCTACTAGCATTGGATAAGCACATTATACTGGATGTGATTGAATTCAACGGAGATTTCGAAAACGGATTTGTTGACTATGTACCGACAAATGCAAACTTCTTCAATAGAGGATGCCCCAGCTATTTCATTATGGAAGGCGACATACTTGATCCAAATCTTCGTCAACAGCAAATTTTGGATTCCATTGAAGTACTTAGTCAGTTCTGTAACATCCCTGACCTCAAGGATAGCATGATTCGCTTCTATAATACTATACCTGCGTCAGTGCACAGGTTTGCAAAGTGGAAATCAAACTTCAGAGAACATTCAGATAGTTTGTCGTTTTATCGAACGCTGTTACAGTACAGTAAGGATCTGGATGTCCCGGATGACGTCCAGCAGGTACTACGTTTTCCGTCTTTTTTGACTACAGCAACAGCTTTTTAAGGCCATAAAATGCGTTCTCATCCTCCCAGCAAGCAACGCCGACCCCGAGCGCAGTTTCTCTGCTGCTAACAGGCTCTCTAGAGAGGAAAGGAGTAACATAAAGACGGAATCTCTAGACAACATCATGACGTAAGCCCTGTTCTTGTAAGTATGCTCCAACATCAATGCATGTTTTAGGGTGCAGCGTAATGGGCCTAGCATCCTAACAGTCAAACTTCAACAGTTAGCACTCCAATGGATGCATCCTGCAACGGGACTTGGGCTGGATCCGGGTATGCCATCGAATCTAGCTAGAGAAGGCAGCCTCATGAAAGCAGTAAAAGAAAACATTGCAAAAGGTTGGATTCACTTCAGGTTTCAGAATTTAACGCATGCATTTAGGAGATGCATATGAGTTGGCCAAGCTCCATGTAAGGCGCCACATGGTGGTCCACGGTCTAAATGCACGAAAGGACACGGAGGAAATCAAAAACCGGCTTTTGCAAGAAGAACTTGCTAAGATGAACATTTTTTCAATCGGATCTTCTCAGAAAACAGACTGAGCATCTTCACATCTTTATAAATCATTATTCATTTCCTTATATTAACGTATGCAACAGATAAATGTTTTTTTAAAGGTACATTTTACACAAAACCACAACAACAATATGCGTAAGTTCCTCTTTCCCGACACAAGTTGTTCAAATGTATCGTGCATTTCTATTGACGAAATCTTCACTTCCCACACATCACACGTCGGTCGTCACACCATCATCCATTCACTGCAAAATCTCCTTTTCAAGAAATTCTATTGAAAACACAACTCGTACCTAAATCAAGACTCCATTTAGTATTTTTCTCAATTATTGAACCTGAGTTGTCAGAGGTAGTTGGGAAAGAGCGTGGCACATCTAAGAACTTAGCTGCAGTCATTTCCCCTTAGAAACCGCTATTGACCTTCGGTCGATACGACCCCCCCCCCCTACCTACCCCCCCCCCTTACGACCCCCCCCTGCGGCGTGCCGCACCCCCCGCTTTACCCTGTTCATAACTGCCTTTATATGATCGTCCGCAGATTTCGAGCACAGATTTAGAATCAGCGTTTCGAGGTCTACCTTTTGGTACACATCGCATTCCAAATGACCGGGATGACCAAGTATCATTTTTTTGTGAGATGCGCTTGTGCCACAGCGCGTGATCACGAATTGCGTAAGGTAGGTCGAGGGTCTCAAAGCACATACCAGATGTGTGTAAAAGCTTCAAAACGAAATAAATACCGTTATTGGATTCATATCCTATGTTACTGTTCTCCACGTGCTTCCTAGCTTACGTCATAGTCCAAGTATTTTGGCGAAAAGACGATAGAAAGATAAGGGTTGAGGAATGGTCACAAAGATGGTAGTAAAGGATGAAATGAAAAATCAACAGAAACATTTCTTAGTAAAAACAACGCTCATTAACGATGTTCCTCGGGAATAGCAACGTTGGTCGACTTTCGTGCCGAGACTCGTGAAAGTACGCTCTACCGATATAGTTCTTGAACCCGAAACCGGGTAGTGTAAGAACAGATGCAAAAATTGTTATGAAATTTTGTATCTCGGCAATTATATTTTAACTTCACATTCGTTTCATTATAGCTCATGCATTCCTACATTTACAAAAGAATTTAAAATAAACAAAATACATTTATTTTTAGAAATGTAGCAGATGATAACGAGAATAAAACAGGCTGTATGAAGGGAAACGGTAAATCATAAAAGAACGTTTGCCAACAGCTCAAATCAGAAAAGATCTGATGATTACAGCAAAAAGAAGAAAGGTTCAAGGAAGCCTAACACAAGGTAGAAATTGTTTGCAGTTCGAAAACACACACTCGCTGATGACGACCGTTCGCTCAGGCGGCGTTCATACTAAACTGGACGTCGGGAACAGTTCCATATAATGCCCGAACAGCGCTGTGCTAGAAATGTTTTCGGACTTCGGGATCAAAATGAACGCAGCCTCAGACTCAATTACAAGCCGGCGACTGCGCGACGACCGTCGCGGACAACACCGTCATTGCGCCGCACGCTCGCCGGCCGGACGCCGGAAATGGAACAAACTATAAACAGTATTTAGCTGACACCAGAACCTGCATGCTATGCTTAGAATTGCAAGGATGTCTGTCAGCAGAGCAATATCAAAAACATAAGCACTCACGACAGTTCTTTGACAAAGGACCATTCGGGGGACCAATTCGGTACCGTCTGGCCTCTCCCCAGCGAAGATACGGAACTCGTTCACCTAAAGTTACCGAAATTTGTTTATCGAAAGTCTTCAAAAGCCTATCTTGGCATACTGCACCTAGCCTTAATTAAGCTCTAACCTCAACGGTGCCCCTAAAACTCATTACATTAGCTATAGACACTGAATTCCCTCTCAAAAGTAGATTATTTTTGAAAAGACAGAACACCACTTAAATTAAAGTCACTATTTATTTATAATGTAAAACAACAAACAAGAAAGTAAATATGCTTAAATGCTTTCTCATATAGCTGAGTGATTGAACCGAAATTTTTGGACGTAGGGAGATTTAGATAACCCCTTAGGCACTATAGAAGTGTCCTTACAGCGCTTGACGGCCCCGTCAAAGATATCATCCACAGACTTCGCACCGATACGCTTTGTCGAGACGAACATTGCCCGACGAAGTCCAATGAAGTGTCGGTGGCGGAGTTGTCAATGGCCACGCCCCTTTGACAACTCTCCCCCCCCCCCCCTCAGTCTCTTCCAGTGCCTTTTTCATGCACGAATTGCATGAGAATGACTGCAGAGTTGGCCGATAACTTGGATAATCGCACCTCGGCCACGTCAACCTCATTAGTTGTGGTCAACTCCGCCCACTTTCTTGAAACCCCGCCCCATACTGACATTCCCCCCCCCCTTCGTAAAACCACACACACTTACACACACTTACACACAAAACTATGACCAATGAAGTCTCACAGAAAGATCATAAACATGAGAAAACCCTCGATTTCCTTCCTCCCCTCGAGATTGTGAATATGTTGCAATCATATTATGCAGTTTTCAAGTTTATACTCGAGAACAGCGAACCTTTGTTAGGCCTCAGGAAGGCCTTAAGCCACGATTTATCGAAGCCGCGCCGGAAAACAGCCAGAGCAGGGGTCAAGCCCGTTTCCGGGCGATCCCGCCACTCGGAATAGCACAACAAGAGCAAAAAACATCCAAAAAATATAAAAGACCTTCCATGGCCAATTCCGTAATTTTCGGTTGACATCGTGCAGCCACAAGGTAGTTGGTGCGGTTGCACCGACATCGCACCAGCCGACGCCAAATCTGTGCAAGCGACAGAACCTGGGGAAAAAAGAAAAATCGTCGGGCAAGCTATATACTGGTTGGTAGAGTTTTTAGCCCTCTTAGTCAATACACAGCTTGCCCCGAAATTTTCGCCCTCGCCCCATCGAGGCTCGAAAACCTCATTTTATCTTTTACTGACCCTATCAATCGAACAAATCAAGAGTTTCTTGGAAGCCTCATACTCATTCAAAGATCTTATTAAGCTCTTTCCAAAAGTTTAAGCCGTTTTCCTTTAGGCTCGTTCCAAAGCGATTTTGGAATTAGTTAAATTGAAAGAAAACGGGCTTATCTGTAAGGCGGACTTATTTGAAGGGCTTTATAAAAATCAAAAAAGCGGACTTACTGTAAGATTTTAGGGGTAAGACGGTTAACATACTCCACAGATTAAACGCCACAGATGATGATACTGACAACTATCTAGAAAAAGATTCCTCTATCTACAATAAACAGCCAATAGACATGCGCTCGAAGAATTCCTTTGCAATATATAGCAGTACCAAAAGTGATGGTTTGAAAGTGCAACCGCACGAAAATCTGAGCGAAACATAAAAAGAAGGAGCTTAAAACAATATGAACGCCAAAACGCCGATGAGCAACACGAAAACGAAAAAAGAACGGAGAGCGGAGAAGAACGCGAGAAAAACGATCTGAGCATTTCGAAAACGAGAGCCGAACACAAAATGTAATAATTTTAATGCATCCGCACTCTTAAAACTTGAAACCTGAATAAAGGAAGATAAAACAACGTAAACACCAAAAAGGCCGATGAGCAGCAGGGGAAAGAAAAAAAGAACGGAGAGCGGAAAAGAACGCGAGAGAAACGATCTGAGCAAGTCGAAAACGAGAGCAGCCTATTTTCGAAAATGCATAAGCTGAGTATCAGCATAACGAATTGGCTGTGTGCTAATTGTGCCCCGGAGGTGCTGCACACCTAAAAATCCCCGTGAATTTCCAATTTTCTTGCACCTCCGGGGCACGTGCCCCGGAAGTGCGTGTCTCGGCTCTTGTGACGTCACCGCAAGCAGAACGCTCTGTCGCCCGCCTCACGCGGCTGCTCCAATGGTTAAGGGCGTGCCCCGGAAATGCCAGAGATAGCCGCTGTCCCCCGGAAGCCTTTTGCGAACTGCAAGGTTACTTTAGAATGATAGCTAAGAAAAACTTATCATTCATTCTTTGATTAAGAGACGCGAGAACGCCTTGCGTACGTTTGATCAACAAGTTCACGAATGAGTTCTAACGTGTTTTGGTTAACTTACTTACGTAGATACTTAGATGGCCCGTCCTCACGTGACGTGCGGGCCCCAGTACAGAAGTTGCCATTGATCCCTGAGAAGGCCCGTCCTCACGTGACGTGCGGGCCCTAGTACAGAAGTTGCCATTGATCCCTGTCCCTCGCTTCGGACATCCACGATCTTCTTGGTCGTCGTCGGTGGCTGCGTCCACGAGTTCCAGGGGCAAGAATCGTATTCAGCTGATTTCTCAGCTGGTCCATCCGTTCCGCGAACACGTCTGCCCATCCCGTCGGTGGTCTTCCTCGAGGACGTTTTGGGTTCGCGAGGAATCCACTTAGATGTTCTTAGTGTCCATCTATCGTCCGTTCTTCTCATTATGTGACCGGCCCATCGGTGTTTCGCCTTCGCAACGTATTCCGCTGGGTCACGAAGACGAAACATTCTTCTCATATCCGTGCTGCGAAGTCCGACTAGATGTTGCTTGTGTCGGGTCATCTTCAGAAGACTGCGCTCGAGCGCTCTGTGGGTGGTCCTCAAAGCTTTCGACATGGCTACGGTGTCGGCCCAAGTCTCAGCTGCGTGGCAGAGCGCTGGGAGAACGGTTGAGTCAAACAGGTGGGCACGAAGCTCCGGGTCCGTCAGTTGGTCGGTGGCTTCCTTCAGAGGCCCGAAGGCGGCCCAGGCTGTTCTTCTTCTCCTGTTAAGTTCTTCCCTCAAGTCGTTCTCCATGTTTATCGAACGTCCGAGATACACGTAAGAAGACGTCTCCATGATAGGGGTACCTTCCAATTCCATTTCTGCATCTTCGCAAAGGGCGTTCTCCATGAACTGAGTCTTTTTTCGATTTATTCGCAGTCCGATCTTCTTCCCTACTTCGTTTAGTTCCTTCAGCATCGCCTCTGCTTCAGTGATACTGCTCGAGAAAAGGACGATGTCATCCGCAAAACGAAGGTTGGATAGGAAACTCCCAT